CAGAATTTTTATTCCCCACACCCAGTTTATCCAATTATTAATGTCTCAGGTTAGTGTACACTTGTTACAAGCACAGTTGATACTTTAGCTGAAGTCCATACACGATTCAGATTTCATTAATTTTTAACCTAAGGTTTTTTTTTTTGTTGTTGTTCCAGAACTTTATCCAGAAGGTAACATCACATGTAGCTGACATGTCTCCTTATGATACTCTTGTGGTAATGGTTGTTTCCCTTATTAGAATTGTCTCGGGTTATTCACTATTGTGATTATGAAATGAATTCATGGGTAATACAAACACATAATTAAAAAAATATGATGTCCTAAATTATAACAGAGGAGGGATAAGAGTCATGCTATATATAATGAGTATGCATTTGCTTTTATAAATGTTCATTCAGCACTACACCAGAAGTTATAAAGAAGTAGCCAGATATTTGTACCTACTTATAATTTAAAAGCAGAAATTACTATGTGGAATATTATTGACACTTTTTCTTCCTTTTTGACATTTTGAAACCAGAGTTAAATAAATACATGCATAAACACATATGGAATTTCTGGGCCTGCAGCAGTCATACATGTGGTAAGCATAGGTGTGTTAACTGCTGAGTCAGATGCCATGATGGGATCTGGCTTCAGTGTCCTGGTTTTCCAAAATGGAAAAAGAGTACCAGCTATCCTAGACTTACATAGTAGTTATTTTTCCAGAAAAGTCTATGTGTATTCAAAAGGTGCAAACATATTTTGCGTTTCTATGTAAAACAGAGTTAAAGTTTTAATATAATTAGAAGCACATTTTAACAGAACCAAGGGTCCAGTTTGACATAACAGCCACGTGAGACCCAGACAATCTCCTGCATCAGGGGGGCCACCCCCCACCAATGTCACTAGCCCCCTCTTGCATCATTGTGGTAACCAATGAAAGCAGCTTCAATTTCCCAAAATGCCCCCTAGGGGGTGGTACTGCTGTGGATTGTGGTGCTGTCTACACAGAGCTTCACAGGAACCCTTTATTTGTCAAATGAGTTCAGCAGTAGCTGAGGTGGGGGGGTCACAATGTATGCCCTCCAAGAATGTAAGCTGATAGTATTTTCCAGTTAATCAGCAGGGGTTGTTTGGGGGAACACAGTGTCCTTGGCATCCAGGGTAAGTGTGTGTGAGTGGGAAATGCAGATCAGGCAAGCCCCATGACCCCGACCCACACGCAAAATAAACAGTGAATTATTGATTGCTTATGTTCAGAAAAAGAGTTCCCAGGGGTAAACCAGAGTCAGAGAAATCTTTGTGGAGGAGACAATAGTAGCTTATTGAATCAGGGCAACTGGAATATGAAGGAAAATATATTTACCTTATGAATAAAAAATAACTCCTAGATCCTTACTTCTCACTTCTTCAGACCAACAGCATAGGCAGCACATGGAGGTTTGTTAGAATTGCGAATCTTAGCCTGTATCCCAGATGTACTGAATTAAAATCTGCATTTTAACAACAATCCTGGGTGTTCATCACATTGTCATAACAAAACATAGGTTAACAGGAGAAAAGCATAGCAAGTTTATTTAACCAATGTTTTACATGACACAAAAATCCTTCAGAAATGTAGACTCAATGGCTCAAGGAAACTTTCCATTTTTACTCTTAGACTCAATGAAGAATGGACAGCCATGTAGAAATGGGATTGGGTAACAGGGCATGATTTAATGATAATACACTGTGTGGAAAACCCAGCACGGCCTGTTTGGATTCTTCTTGGCCTCTAGGTATGGAATTCCTTCCTCTTCTGTATAGGGAGACTGGTATGATCTGCTATAGGGTATTATGATCTGCTATCAGATAAGGTAGGTCAAGAATTTCTTTGTAGCCAGCTCTTACACAGAAAGGTGGGGTAAGTTAGAGTAATATGTCCAGATTTTATATTTTTCTGGCTTTGAAAGACTAGAGAGTTCCAGTTTCTATGAACTACTTTGAGGGAAGAGGACTTCTAATTTCTTTGGACTGCTTTTGAGAGAAGGGGAGCAGAAAGAGTAAAGCTGGAATTTTAAGTACCAGGCCCAAACTGTTGGGATTCCACAGGTCAGGTCCAGCCACTCGTCCCAAATAAAAGAGATATAGTGAAGGGCGGAGAAAGGAAATTACGTAGCAGCTCTTCACTTCATCTCTAGCCATCTTTGGGGTACAGACATGAGTGTTAGCTTTAAATAGACAAAGAATCAGGGCAGTGGTGAGAGGTATGTATAGTTAAACGGTCCTGTCACAGTGTGGCCTGGTTAGATATTATCTCAGTTCTGATTTTCTGAGGGATCCAGAGTTGTTATTGCTGTCATCACTGGAGGGGAGCAATCTGGTTCCATGAGATGACTACTCTGCTAGTTCCAAGTGATTGCCCTCCTTTTGGGGGTGGTCTGTCCTATGAGGCATGCTGTTGCTTTGGGGATAGTTTCAGTCCCTTGTCATAAAGAAGTTATGGATCAGTTCAGTCCTTCCTGGATTCCAAGGTAACTGCAAGGTGAATGGCTTAGAATAGTGACATAAGAAAATAGAAGCAGGGATACCAAGCTCTTCTCTTGCTTTTAGTTAACTAGTGGGCCTAAGTAAAGAGTCAGTTCTTCTCAGCAAAAGCAGCTTAAGTATCTGTTACAGAAAAAGGGCAGGAGATGCTCAGAAAGCTCTTGTTTCCCCACTATCTTCCTTCAGTTCAAAGTGCTCAGTGTGTCCAGGCACCATGCTTGGGTATTATTTTCTGAGTCCCACGTGTTCACCTGCATAATCAAGGCCTGCAAAACCAACTGAGGAACCAGAAAAATGAATAAGGATACTCTCTCTGTTGGTGAGAGTCTGCTGCAGGACTTGGAGTGTGTGTGTATGTGTGTGTGTGTGAAGGGAGCAGAGCTACAGGGTACACATTGTATAGTTTAGTGAGAATCACAATGGGGGCTGAGGAACGTAAATCAGAATGTGTATTTGTGTGTGTGTATGTGGGTGCATCGGTTTAAAGATTTCTAGAGCGACCTCAGATCAATTAAATCAGAGTTTCAGGGCGCAAGGGAGGAATATGTATTTAAAAAATTAAGAAAACAAATAGATGACGGTTGAGGATGAAGCTCGGTGGTAAAGCATATGCTTAGTATGTGCGAGGCTCTGGCTTTGATTCCCAGCACCATATAAAAGAAGAAAACAATGGGCTGGAGGTGTGGTTCAAGTGGTAGAGTGCCTGGCTAGTGAGCACAGGCCCTGAGTTCAAACCCCATTGCAATTAAAAGAAAGGAAGGAAGGAAGAAACTAAATGCTTTAGAATGGGGAGGACGAGTAGGCTCACAAAACACTCATGTTAATGTCAAGATTTCAACTACAGTGATCACATTGATGATTGTATCAGAATCCCTAGCAGTCTGCTAGTACCAAGTGATGCTTTGAGAGCCACTGACAGGAGGATCCAACGAGAGAACCAGGAGAAATAAAATTCAGGGGGTGGAGGGACAGAGGGCTTTGGAAATACATCTGAAGGACTGTCTACTTTGGAGGACAAAACCAGGAGTAGAAATTTTCATAGTGTTTTTATTTTTCTTTTGCAGCAAGAAAGGACCTTTGAAATGACATAGTTCAATATTCCCAGTTTGTAGATGAAGAAATTAGTGTTCAAAATGATAAAGGGAGCCAAAATCAACTCAAATCTAACCCTAAACCTAGTAACAACAGTAAAAACAAAATAAAACAAGACCCTTTTCTCCTGTCTGGCGATGTTTCAACTACACCACCGCACAAGGATTTAAATCCTACCCTGATTTTGATCACAAGCAATGCGGAAACAGAAGGAAACTGGTTATTATTCAGAAAACAGGGTGGATTCCTTTAAATAAGGAATTGGCATTTTAGAGTACTCGGATTAAATTTAGACACTGATATAAACTAAAGATGAAATCTAGACTCTAGATCTTGGATATTGATGCCATTAAACGCAAGCTCACTCTGCTAAGTGCTGGTTCTCCTCCGTGCCTCTCCGGGCTGCACGAGCGAGTGCCCGCGCCAGCAGGGCGGTGGACCAGGTTGCGGCACCGCTGGGGAGACCGCTCCAGGGTTACCAGATTCGAGCTGTCAGAGGTGGGAAACCAGCATAGCGCTGGGGCAGGCAGGGGAAGACTTCTGGGGTTGGATTCGATTGGAGTCCTGGAGAACCGATCTTGAATGTTAAGAGGGGAAGTGAACTGTATGGGAAAGGCCTAGGGAGAAGCTCAGCGGGGAAGCCGTGGAGTCCAAGCATCTTCTAGAACGCCCGCTGTCCAACTGATACTCCATCCCTGGGCTAAGTTGGTGCTCCAAAGAAACTGGGAGCTGAGTTAAGGCTCTTAAAAGGCACCTACCAACAGACTTGGCATGGGGATGGGGGACAGGTGAGCCACAGGAGGGACCGTGAGGGTAGAGGCCTAGGCGGGGCCGGTGGGGCTCCGGAAGGAAAATGCCAGATGAGGGGCTCTGCCTGCCCACGCGAGGCCACTGGCTCAGCTGACGGCAGAGGAATTCGGTCCGAGGAGTCTCTTTTGGGCACCAATCGGCGGCGCGGGTGGGGCGCGTCCCCCCGTCACGCCCTCACCAAGCCCTGTCTGAGCCGCCTACAGGTCCCCAAGCTCCAATAGTCCCCGGGCTTCCTCGCGTCTGACCCGTCCCGGTCCCTCCTTCTTCACCGGCCTTGGTGCACCGACCTTCGTGCACCGGCTCCGACGCCTCGGGGCGGGTCCCTGCCGCCCGCACCTGCCCCCAGGGGCGGAGATCGGCGGCGACAGCGCGGCCCCAGCCTCCGCCACCGGCCGCGCCGGTCACGCCGCTCTCGGACCGGCCTCCCACCCCCGCCCCCGTGCACCTCCACTCCGCGGCGCCTGCCCTCTCTTTCTCCACGCGGTCTGTCCATCCGTCCCTCCCCCGCCCGAGCCGCGGCGCCTGGCACTTGTGACTCGAGTCCCCGCAGCGCTCGTCGCCACCGCCGGGATCTGGAGCCCCGCGCCATGCAGCCGGCAGCAGGCAGCGAGCGTCGCAACCCCCCGGGCCCCGCAGTCCCGCCGCCGCCCCGGGGCCACGCGCCCTTGGCCGCCGCCCCCAGCCCGCCCGGGCTGAGTTCGCTGGCGCGCGAGCCGCCGCAGCCCGAGGAGGAGCGGCAGCCGCGGATCAGCGAGAGCGGCCAGTTCAGCGACGGGCTGGAGGACCGAGGTGAGCGGGCACCGCCCCGGCCCCTTCCCCACGCCGGCTCCGCGGCACGAGGAGCTGCTGCTCTGGGCCCGCCTCTCCTTATTCGCGGATTGCACCCGCGGCTGCGGGGCTCGGCGCCTCCCAGCGTGTGGGGCGCGGAGCCGGGACATCCCCGGGAAGGCGCGGGGAACCGGGGGCGGCAGCCCCACCTCCTGCGGTCCGCAGGGCCTCGCCAGCGGCTTTTCCTGCGGCCCCCTCTAGGGCGACCCAGCCTGGTCCGCAACCTCCTCTTGGTCAGCCCCAGTCCCTCCAGCGCCCACCGGAAAAGTTTGGGGAAGCCGGGTTTTTGCTTTTGGAGCCGAGCGCTCTCGGGGGACCGACTGCGGGCCCTGCCCAGCGCGGAGAGACCCAGTTCCACGCGTCTCCCTTCGCGAGCCCCCTTTCTGTCACTGTCGGCCACCCAGGAAAACTTCTCTGGGGGTTTAGCCTTCAGATGTTTCTCGGTGGCCACTGGGCTGCCAGCCTCGGAGAAGGGCGCAACGTGGGGAGCGAGCCCAAGCCCAGAGTTGCCTCAGGACTCGAGCGGGCCAGATCCCGACCCCGACCCTCACCCGGAGCCCGGGTCGCAGTGGGCACTGCCCCGCTGTGTGATGGTGGGGCAAAGGGCTGGGACGGTTGGGTTTGGGTCACTAACCTCATCTAGATGGATGCCATTGAACCTGGTACTTCCCTGACAGCGGGTCTCCAGCCCTTGAGGATCCCTCCCAGGACACTTGGCCTTGTTCAATCGTCTCCTGGAGGCCAAACCCTCTCCTGCTGATAGCTGATGCCCCTTTGATTAGCCTGCTTGGAGCGGGAGGATTCCCCTGACATTCCCGAGTTTCTCTCCTCCTCCACCCTGCCTTGTTCCATTTCAGCTTGGATTCCTTGCGGAGGGAGGGAACCCTGTTCTTGGCCGTTTCTACACCTTTCCTGTTTCTTGCTTTTTCCAAATGGGATCCTTCGGAAAGAATCGATAGTTATGCTATCGGAAACCTTGTAGACTGGCCCTTCTCCAGAAGCCGGTTTTGTGCACCCCCACACCCTTTGCTTGGAAGCTTTATTTTGTTGGCTGTGGAGGGTTTATATATTTTAGTCTTAGCAGGTTTCTGCCCTATTCTTAGTATCTCCTGTACATTTTTATTCCGGATTTCGTGTTGGGATGCACGATCTAGTTCTCCTTAGAAATTCGAAACTGTAGCATATGTAAAAAGAATGACATGGAGACAGCGATTCCCGGAGAAGCGGCAGCGGGAACTGGAGATGCTCCAGTTGCAACGAGTTCTGCACCTATGGTGTAGTTTCTCCCCCTGTTCTCACATAACCAAGTAGCCTTTGGGAATCCAAGATTGGTGACATCACGGGCACCCATCAAAACCTGTCACTTTTATTATAGGGTGTGTTGATTACCTCTGCCCTGTAATTAATATTGTAGAATTTAGGATGTTTATATTGAAGAAAGAAACCCGGGTTGAGCTGGATTTTGTAGCATTGCAGGTCATTTGTAAGAGCCGGCCTGTTTCTCTCCACCCCACAAAATGATAGGAGGGAACAAAGTGCTGACTGAGTTCATATTTAGCATTATTTTATAGCTCATGCTTAAGTGTAGAAAGCCCTGCTGAATTCATTCTTCAGGTTATTTGCCAGTGGTCAACTGAATTCATTTTCCATTATATTGTCGCCTAAAAGCATTTACTGTTCATACACTGTCACTGTGTGAAAGCATTGCATATCACACACAGCTTCTCTGTTAGAATGAATCCTGTCCCCTGAAGAACCCAGTGCTGTGTGCCATTGTGAGCTAGCTAAAAGTCAGAGTGACATTCTTTTGTTTGACCCATTCCTAATGGCGAAGAATTAATGATAAGTGAGTGATTTTGGTTAAATAAATCAGAAGGTTACCTTAGAGGCTTATTGTAATATTTTGCGTTATTTTTTCTTATGAGGCTACATCTTTCTAATAATGATTTTTGGTATTCCTTGGGAATGGCTCCAGTGGTGCTGCAACTATTTCCTAATGGTGAGAGGTACTGAGAAGAGGAAACCCCTGCAGTTGCCTGCTGTGCCTCTCTCTATTCTGGGCTGCCTGCCTTCTACCCAAAAACCTATAGACTGCATGTGGGGGATGGATGCTCTTGAGGTCCACCTGCATCTGGCCTTCTCTTTTGTGCTAACTTCCTTCTGACCCACTGGAACCCTGTTGCATACAGCTTCAAACTCCAATCTAAGTGTTGCTTTATAATCTAGTCTTTTGGGATTTGGGAGACATTTTTCCCTTAGACATGATATGGACTGGTTTAGTCAATACAGTGACATTTGGTTCAGCCTGTTGTTCAGGGACCCAGAGTTCTGTGGCTAAAGATCTATGGGAACTAAAAACACAAAAAGCAGGCCAAGTTTATCTTAGACATTGCCACCTTTCCCCTGTAATTCCCACTTTTTTCCCAATAAGTATTTCCTCATCATTCAGTTCCCAAACTTTAAGGTGTGGCTTAGCCTTAGAGAGTTTTGCTATTTAGCATCTCCCAGCAGCTCCCCGTCTAATAAAAATTCCCCTTCCTGCATAGAATTAAAGCTTGACAAACTCTTAGGAGAAAGCAATGAAAATTTATTCATATGGATATGAAAATGACTGAAGGTTTAAACCTCCCTACATGTATTTGCATCTGGTTGGCTTCTCCAACCCCAATAAAGAATCAGCCCTTCGTTAGCATGACCCTATGCTTGATATCCGGGCCAGGCTCAGATTGCAAATATATGGAATTGAGTAAGGTTAGAAATTCAAATGTGGATAGGAAGAATCGAGTCCTGACACAGATCTGAAGCCAGTCTTACTTTCTGCTGGGCTGTTCTGCCTCTCCAGGCTGCCTTGCTTCTGTCTCTAAGTACAGCTTGCCAGAAACGTTAGGTTTTCTCATCAAATATTTGTGGCTTGTGAACATGTATGCATCGAACATGGGTATAGAGGCACTTGTGTGTGAACCATTAATTTATGGTTCTTCCCTTTGAGTGGAAAGTTTTCCGTTCTTAGTATTGGCTACATTTTTTAAAAAGGAAAAATCAACAGGAAATAAGCAAAGATTGTATAGACGTGGGGAAGTTCTTCCTTTTTTTAGATAGTGCTCCCATTGCAATGACTTAATTTAATTTTTTTTTTTTGAAATCTCATGGGGAAGGCACCGAGAAGGACTGGAGAAGAATCTCCAGTCCTACTGCTGAGAGGACCCAAGTGCCACCTTAGCAGGTGGTTCAGCCCATGTGACTGTCATCTGACCCTCCTGCCGGACATGCTGGTCCACTGGTGGATGAAACATGTGGATGGACTATGTCCCTGGAAATTATTGCTGTTGAAATTTCTAGCAAATGAACTACTTGTTTAAACTATAGCTTAAAGGTTATGGCTTTATTTCTGAAAATCAATTGACCAGGATGAAAGGAAGATTTTTATATTATTTGGGAAAAGGAAAATAAATAATTAGGGGTGTGCAGGATCTGTTCATTCTAGGTGACTGTAGTTGAAAATTAGAACTGGGTGCTTCTCAGTAGCTAAGGCAGAAGCAGACAAAGGGACATGCTGTATTTTCATTTGAAATCACCTGTACCTAGGGTGGATTTGACAAGAGAAAAGGTTTGTCTTTCTTCCATCGAGGAGCATTCATGAAGCAAGATTTGGGGGAACTTGTACAGTGAAAGGATGGAGACAGAGCTGATTCTTCATGTTTGCACTCTCATCTGCCTTTTAATGCCACAGAAGCCTAAGGGTTCAATCATTTGGAAACCCTTGGACTGTGAATTGGGCTTATCAAGCAACAACCGACAATTCCATTTGTTTTGTTCAGGGCCAGATCAGGGATGCTTGGGTCTGGGTAATAAATGGAACCAAGAGGTTTCAGCAGGGTCTTTGTTAGAATTTTTGAATGGGATATAGTTTTTTTGGCAGTGTATAGGGGCTCAGAAACTGATATCCCAAAGTATGGCACTTTGGCATGCTGTGTACTCTGAACTGGAGTACACTGAAAGGGTAAGAAGCAAAATCTCTTCTGACCAACCCCTGCCCTTCTTCTTCTTGCTCCCCCTTCTCTCACAAGGCAGGCCATAGAAACATGAATTCTTCTTCCTCAAGGTGGGTCATAGAAACTAGAACCCTTTTTCCCTCAAAGACAGCCATAAACCCTAGAAATATAACTCAAACTTCCCCCACCTTCCTGTGGAAGAGATAGATCAAGCACAAGAACCCATTCCAGAAGGGAAGCCAAAAAGAGAGCCCAAGAAGAATCTGAACAGACAGGACTTGCTGAGTTTCTCTCCTTGACTTCTTACCATTTGCTCATACCCTTTGTCCCATCACATTTGGACAGGGCTGGCCATTTTTCATTGAATCTATAAGCATAAAAACAGAGTTTTCCCTGAGTCTTTGGGCCTTCATTTCTGAAGGTGCTCATGTCACCTAAAACTTTAAATAAATCCGTTATGCTTTTTCTCCTGTTAACCTGTCTTTTGTTGCAGGAGTGTTAGCTGTGTCCCTTATTATGGGTGCCCTTTCTGCCTGCCCCTGTATCAACTACATGCTTAGTGTGGGGGCCAGTAAGACAAATAAGGTGATGCAGAGGTGTGATACACTCACACTGTGACATTTTACAAACAGATGCCTAAACCTTTGACTACCAATTCCTTCCTCATTTCTAGTGGTGTGGGAAAGGAATATTGTGGTTTGTGCAGCCAGAGCTGGTGTAATAAGCTTCTGCTTATGTAGAATACACGGCTGAAAATTTAATTCTCTGTGCAACTAAGAAATGCCATTTATGATTTTTTTTTTTCAAAGGAGAAGAAAGAAATTTAAATCAAGATCTTACTGAAGATGCAGTAGTCTTTGACCCCAGGCAGTTGAAGCTTGTGCATTGCCTGGGAATTGTCACGAATTTCTGTTGTTGTCAAGGGTTCTCCGTGAGCAAAGCACAGGAGACAAAAAGAAAACCTGTGTTACACATGCCTAACGGAGGAAGCGACCTCTGGCATTAGCAGGTTTACTCCATTTTAATACTCTGAGATTTTTTTTTTTTGATGTGTGCTTGATACAAAGGGAGGAGGGAAGAAAACATGATATATAATTTGGGCCTATTGTTGGTTGGGTTAAATGGTACATTTCCTTCTGTTGTCAGGGGGCACAGTAAGGGCATTTATAGTCCATGATCCCCTGCTTTGGGTAGAACCCAGTCCTACAGTTGGTACTGTGCTAGTGGATCAAAGCAAATCAGTGCCCACAGCCCAAATTTCTGAGTAAATGCTATGCCATTTTCCTAACTGAAGGGCCTTGTGGGATCAGCATCTACCTGAACCAAGTGACTTAGTGTAGGGACAAGGGGAAGGCCTGCTGTGAGATGTCAGGGGGTGGTGAGGTCGTTGGGGTCCCTCTAAAGAGGACAACTGCTCTCACCCTGCAGAAACCCGTGCCCTTTGTTGCCAGAGCCTGTGATTTTTCAAGGGATGCCAGAAAGCTTGATTTTCCTGTGAAGTCTCCTAATTGTGAAAACATAGTGTAGGCCAAACAAAACACATCTTGGCCCACGGGCTGTCAGTTTGCAATCTTTGGATAAGAAATTGTTGCTCTGGCTGTGGGTTTCTTAAAAAGGAAATGTCTAACTTCCTTTTCTCCTTGTTTTTTTTTGGTCAGGCTTACTAGAAAGCAGCACCCGGCTGAAACCTCACGAAGCCCAGAACTACAGAAAGAAGGCATTGTGGGTATCCTGGTTCTCCATTATTGTCACTCTGGCCCTCGCAGTGGCTGCCTTCAGTGAGTATCAAGAATCTTGCTGATCGATATGTGCTGGTGTTGCCTGTCTTATTCTCTAACCCCTGTGGGATGTGCTTTTGCTTTTAGTTGACTATTATTGATGAGCAAATTTTTTTTAGATGGCTGGATAGTCAGGGTACTTATAAATTAGTAAAATGGCTTCTCTTTTCTGCAGAGGGAAGAGGTTTTAAAAAAGAGATGAAGAGCAATACTAAGAATTGAGAGTCACGGCTCTCCCCAATATGCAGGTTTGTGGAAGTAGATTGTGCCTGCCAGGTGAATAGTGAAAATATTCTCTTGGTGGATGCCTTCAGCTTGGGCTGACATGTGACAAATATCTATCCTTCAGATTCATCTTTTGAGCCTAATGCAACAAGACGACTGCAATATGCAGTGAGCCCCACCCCTCCTAACGCATCTTGCCTAAGGTTGTACATTTTACTAACATGGGAGGGCCTTCTCTCAAGTTTCCAGTGGCCACAGAAATAAAATCGTCAATTACAATCAAGAGAAAGTATGAAAACAGAACTGTTCCTGCCTAGAGGTAATCTTGTTTGGGGATTAGGTAGCCTTCTGGCTGATGTTTTCTCAGCCAACATTTGCAGCCTATGGCAATGTGCATGTTATATTTTTCTTATTGATCATGCAATAATTCATAAGAGTAAGCTGTAACAGCTAGAGCTCAACCTTGGTAGAAACATAGTGCTTTTTTTTTTTTTAATGCTGGAGAAAATGTTTTTTGTTCATTTTGTGATGAATTTATTATCTAACAGAAAGATCTGTGTTATAAATGATGAGTATCATACAAGGCATCTCAGAGTAGGAGGAAAAAGGACTATGCCCATTAGCAAACATGGCTGTATGTGTTGTTTGAAATTCTTCTCTGCCAGGTTGGATCTGCTGCCGGAAGTTGGAATTGGATCCCAAGAGGGAATATTAGAATTTGGCCAAATGCTCCCTTCAAAACTGAGCCGATATTACTTGAAGCAATTCCTATTGGAAACACTGTACCATATTTTGGCTCTGAGAAAGCTAAACATTTAGAAGCAGAGGGTAATGCCTTTCAGGGAGTAAGCATTTACCAGGGAGCCAGAAATCTAATCAAGGGGAATTCTGATTCCTGAAAATAGCTCTCCCCTTCTCACCCCTTTTTAAATGCTGAAACAAGAATAACAAGCAGATTGATGTCCCTTGAGGGTAATTTGGTTGTGGTGGCTGGTAGGGGATTCTGGATCAGACACAGTAATTTACATATGTAAAGAAAGAGGGCTGAATGAAGGGAGGTGATTTATAGATGGAATAATAGTTACTCAGACATGTGTAGGTGCCCAATAAAGCTGTTACGATGTGGGTGTTTGGATGAGGACCTGAGTGTGAAGAAGTCATGAGTGAGCCTTTCCGTTGGGAGAATGATGCTACATTTGATGTTCTTAAACTTCATAATAAGGAAACTTTGAGGAAAATTTGGAAATTTTGTATATCTGATCAGTTTTGCTATCTTAAGAATTTTCCATTTTCTTTAATAGGAAAAGACTTGTATAATGCATGCTGAGCTAGAATGTTGCTTAGTACAAAGGATTTCTTTTCTTTTGAGAATGAGTTCACCCTTTATGACAGAAAATATTTAAGTCCTCTAGCTTCTTGCCTATAAAATGTGGACATTTAAAAAAAATGTAGACATTGGCATATAGTCTCATGACCTTATTATTTCTATAGTTCATTCAGTTCTTTTTCAAGTTGCTTTCGACTTGCTTTAGTTCAGTTAAGCCAAAAAAGGTAAATATTTTTCACCATTTTAAGTGTAGAACAACTTCACTATGTGTGTTTCATATATTTTTTTTTTCAGTGCTGTGGTTTGAATTCAGGGCCTGTTCTTACTGGGTAGATACTCTTATTACTGAAGCCATTCCCCCCAGCCCTGTGTGTCATATTTTACACTGTTGTGCCGGTCTCCAATTGTGTTGTTAGGGTTGTTAGTTTTACTCTTTAGTTTCCTAAATGTATTTATAACATGAAATACTTAAAATCCTTTCCAAAGTGTCATTTATGGAATAATTTCCATAGTTTTCAATGGAAAGAAAATAAATGGGGATTAAGCAATGTAAGCTCATTTTTAAGTTATATTTAAATAAAGGAAAATTGTACATTTCAGAAATGGCAATAAATACTATGTAAGAAGTGTCACAAATGGGATGAATTTGATCAAAGTACATCATACACATGGATTATATACATTTATCACAATGAAGCCCCTTTGCACAATTAACTTATGCTAATAAAAATCAAGGAACCTCCCCCGCCCCCTCAAAAAAGTCTTATTCTCCAAGGAGGTGGTTGACAGATGAATTAAGTGAAAAACTCTGGCTTGGTAAATCCCTGTCCCATCCAATGAAATGGGGTGAAACAATTAGTGTTTTTAAGAGCATTGCTTTTACAGAATTACAATAGGAGATGCTATGGTGTGTCAGAGAAGTCACCGGACTGTGTGCTGTGTGTGTGTGTGTGTGTGTGTGTGCGCGCGCGCATGTGTGTGTATTGTCAGGGACTGTTAATCATGGTAAGGAGAAATGAACTGTATTTATGGTCATGTTTTCTTGCTGCTGTTGGATGGTAAAACATCAGGGGCAAATGCATCATCCACCCTTGCATGTAATCAGTACTTAAGATTGCTAAGTAAATGTACTTAATTTTTTTAAACTTTTTTTAAAATTAGGTAGTAGGAAAATATTAGAAAATGATAAACTTTACCTGAAGGTTCATTTAGAGATTAGGCTTAGATTTCACTTATTTTATAAAGAGTTATAATTTTTGGAAACTATGGAGCCATCCTTCTGGATATTTTCTCACTTAGGGCCGTGTCTGTGAGCTGCATCTACCGTGGGACTGTGCAAGTGCCATTTTCTATTTATTTGTAGATGCTTCTGATAGGCCATGTTTCCTCATGTTAGTAGTTTCTAAAAGATCCAATGCTAAAGCTAACTCAATTCAGTATTATTAAATTATTTGCGACAGTTCATGTGTGTAGCTATGATTGACATTCACATGTCTAGTATAGTTAGAAAAATTAGATGGACTTTCCAAGTTTGCCACTTGAAAGTGCACTGAATTAGTATAGGAACTAGTTTTGATAATACTTGTTAATATGGTGATCTAACCTGTTCAAATGCTGATATAAAACCAGATGGTAATGCATCTTGGAATATTTCAGAGAGAGCCCTAGTTTGGTTTTTAAACTGACTCTGTTTATGATTGGCAGGCAGCATGGAAAATGCCAATGCTGTTGTGAACAAATGTGAAAAAGGTCTGTTTTAATAATGAGGCTAGAAAGAAGATAGAAGTTTGGTTTCAAAACTGAGGGTTTTGACATCGTTGATGTCTTTGTTAGACTGATTGAGGACAATGTATTCTAACTCTGTTTTTGAGGTTTGACTACAAGCTAATTTTTAAGTACTCAATGCTTGTTCTGTGGGAAATAAAGATATATTTGAAACATTCTCAGGGGAAAATCTTTTTTAAGATACAGAGCTCTATTAAAAAAAAAAGATAAAGAAAAGGAAAAGTACTTCAAGATTGCCTTAGAAAAGAACTCCCTCAAAAATTTAGTGCATCAGCAGATTTAAGACTTAAAAAAAAAATCTCTGAAAGAGTGATTTTCTTTTTATATGTGTGGATTTTAAAATAACTTATTTTAGTGTAAGCTCTTGACCTTTAAACACGGTAGAATAACATAAACTTACCTTTTTTTTATTTCTAAACCTTGAGCCAAGGGTTGAGAGATAGATAAAATGAAGTTACATGCTTGTCTATTTCAAAAAAAAAATATCTGGGAACTTTCTAAGGTGTTATCTCACCTGGCAGACATATTGTTAGATAGAAAAGGTAGCTAGGCATGGTGGTGTATTCCTGTAATCCCAGCCGGGGCTACATAGTGAATTCAAGGCCAGCCTGGATTACATAGTGAGACCTGTCTCAAAAAAACAAAAAACAAAAGAAAAGGTCCAAGACCCCACCCCAGGGGCTTTCTGGGTCCTGAGAATAACATCTAAGTAGTATAGTGGCCTTAAAGGTCCAATCTGACCTGAACTTGTCCCCTTTTCTTGGATATCCTGAACTTTTGGTCAGGACTGGAGCCTTATCTCTTGGTATAGCTCAGCATCTCACAGAGTAGATTCTTCTTCAAAGAGCTTTCATCAATTATGTGGCCTCAAGCCTGGAGTAGTTTCATCCATTGTGCTGCTTGTTTTATTCTTTTCAGCTTTTTCCTTTTTGCCTTCTTCTCTATTTGGCAATGAGGTACTTACGAAGCCTTGGTTTCTTGTACCTGTGTCCTCAAGGACTTTGACCCCTGAAATACTTCTGTGAATCAAAGACTTAAGCATGCAAGATACATTCTGTTTGTACAATGATCTTTCTTTGTGTTGTTTTCTGGTCTTACATTTACATTTATTTTTATTGAAAAATACATATATTCATATGATAAAAATTCACGAGACCAGAGGTACATGGTGCATTTCTCTATCTAGCTGTTTTTCTTTTTCCCAAGCTGTCTTCGCCATTTTGCATGAAGTGGAATCAACATGGAGAATCTTCAGGAATAGCCTCACCAAGAAGGTCTGCCTGCTGCCACCGACCCCAGCGATGAGGCAGAGGGTGGGGGATGTGGGCGGGGATGTGGGCAGGAAGTTGCCAGCCACTTCCGGGAGTGTTCCATGGGATAACTTGCTCCCGCAAGTGTGTTCTGTGAATGATAACTAGAGAGGCTGTTTCTGAGAGGTGGAAGTCAGGAGCGAGGACCAGGCAAAAATGTGCTTTGGAAACCTTGTCCTGACAATCCTTATAACCTGTGGTCATGTCATCAAAGGTTTGGTGCCAGCCAGTCCATGTGATTCTAGCTCACTGACAATAAAGTAGTACTTCAGTCTGGCCCTTTGTTTCCCATGAGGCTCCTCATGATCCTGTCCCCTTCTTTCCTGTTTGGGCTCATCTTCCCCCATCCCCCA